TGTAATTTTTTACGACGGTTTCAGACGCTGGTTTTAGCCGTATTTCCACAAAAGTGGAACTCAAAGGCCGTTCTCCATGAAACTCAAGTCGCAGGTCTCGTGGAACTGATCAGTCACGTTGGTCGATTGGCTGATTTGACTCTGCAAATGGTCAATTCCACGAGATCTGCTACTTGCGTTTAATGTAGAACGGCCTTTGAGTTCCACTTTTGTGGAAATACGGCTAAAACCAGCGGCTGAAACCGTCGTAAAAAATTACAATAGGATGGCCGCTCTCAGGTTTCTCTCTGATATAATATATAGATATGTACATTTGTAAAAGTTAAGACCACACCGTTTGAAAATTTTGAAAAATTTTGTAAGGTTAAGTTATGTATATTACAAGTTTGTACTGTTCGTACACACACTGTATATATCGCGTTCCATTTACTGTGGCAAACTGTGCTCGAGTGTGTTAATCTGTGTCGATTTGTGTCTCCTAAAAGGAAAGCAGACAGTGTCTGTGAGATCGAAGACATTGATGAGAATTTCCGCGGGAAGTTCTTTTTCATCTTCGTCATCGTGCCTAAACTTCAGTTGATTGGCGTGTGCACGAACCAGCCGACTTCGTGTTTGAACAAGCACATTATACAGAACTTTGCCAACCCGCTCGATGATTTTCCCAGGTATCCACGACCATTTATTAGCTGCATGAACCTGAACAAAAACTTGCGTACCCGGAGCAAAAACTTTATCTCTTGCTCCGTGTTTTCGATTATACTGCATCTCTTGTTTGAGCTGTTTCTCATTTGTAGATACTTGACAAGAAGAAGGTTTCAATAAATCCAATGATGTTCGTATTCGTCTACCCATTAGTGCTTCAGCCGGATACAACTTGTTAGGAACATTTGGATTTGGAATAGACCTATAACACTGTAGGAAAACAGAAAGAAAATCCATTGACGAAAGGTTGCTACTATTTTCCCCAGCTTGTAGTTTAGCAAGTCCACGCTTGAAAGTATCCACGAAACGCTCAGCCTGCCCATTTGAGCTAGGATGAAAAGGTGAGCTTAAATGTTGTATTCTATTTAATAAACAATAAGATTGAAACTTCTCTGAACTGAGTTCCATTATCTGAAACAATTGTTTCAGGTATGCCGAAGCGAGCAAAAATACTTTGAAGTATACTAATTGTTCGCTGTGCAGAAATTGACTGTGTCGGTATGACTTCTGGCCATTTGGAGTAAGCGTCCACCAGAACGAAAAAGTATTCTCCATTTAATGGACCGGCATAATCAATATGCACTCTCTGCCAAGGTGCTGCTGACTGAGTCTAGCTACATAAAGGAACCTTAACAGGAGCCTTTGCGGTGAGTGCACAATTTCTGCAACGCTTAACAAATTGTTCAATGTCCGCATCTATTTTCGGCCAATATACATATGAACGTGCCAAAATCTTCATTCGTTCTATTCCAGGATGACCCTTGTGAATCTGTCGAAGAACCCGTGAACGAAAACAAGACGGCACCACGATTCTGTTATTGAAAGAAAGACAGCCTTGGACTACCGACAATGAATGGCGTCTACAAAAATAAGGCTGCAAAAACAACTCTTCTACAGTCTGAGGCCATGAGGTAAGAGTATATTTAATTACTTTCTGAAGAATATCACTCTTCTTAGTTGCCTCTTGAATCTGCTGAAAGGTAATCGGCGCAACTGGCCCCGTTTGTAATGACTCTTGCAAAGACAAAGATAAATCATTCTCCAATTGAATAGAAGCAATAACAAAATCCTCTTCAGGGCGATTCTGCTGATCAATGAGCCTGGACAACACATCAGCATGTCCAAATTCTGTAGTTTTAATGTACTTGATCTAAAAATTGTAAGACAGTAACTGCAAAACCCATCGCTGCAAACGATTCGCTGAATGAACAGAAATCCCCTTTTTGTTTCCAAAAATTTGTAATAACGGTTTGTGATCCGTTTGTAAAGTAAAATGCCTTCCAAAAATCATTCGATGAAATTTCGTAATGGCAAACATAATTGCTAAAGCTTCTTTTTCAATTTGACTGTAATTCTGTTCCACAGAAGTAAGACTTCTAGCAGCATGACTGACTGCTTTGATTGTTTGATCTAGAAAACGATGTAAAATGCAAGCTCCCAGACCTTCGTTTGAAGCATCTGCTGCCACAATAATTTCATACTTTGGATTGTAATGAGTGAGCAACAGATTAGATGTCAAAATCTTCTTGAATTGTTCGAAAGACTTCTGACAACGTGAAGACCATGACCACGGTACATCCTTTTTAAGCAAATTGTCCAACGGACGTCGCAAAATGTGCATATTGGGAATAAATCGAGAATAATTATTAACTGCTTTCAAGAAAGACCGTAAGGTATTTAAATTATTTGGAGCTGGCATATCTATGATAGCAGAAACTTTTTTCGGATCTGGATGTAATCCTTGCCCATCAATGACGTAACCAAGATAATTGATCTTTTCTGTGAAAAAGGTACACTTTTCAAGTCGTAGTCGAAAGCCATAATCTTGAATAC